TTATATATATATATCTTTCTGTAAGTTACTTCGGTTTTATATATATATATCTTTCTGTAAGTTACTTCGGTTTTATATATATATCTTTCTGTAAGTTACTCCGGTTTTATATATATATATTTCTGTAAGTTACTCCGGTATTATATATATATATATTTCTGTAAGTTACTTCGGTTTTATATATATATTTTTCTGTAAGTTACTCCGGTTTTATATATATATCTTTCTCTAAGTTACTTCGGTTATATACATATATCTTTCTCTAAGTTACTTCGGTTATATACATATATCTTTCTCTAAGTTACTTCGGCTACATATATATATCTGTCTGTAAGTTACTTCGGATATATATGTGTATGTGTGTGTCTAATTCGAAAACTCACAGCTATTTAAAAATCAAAATGAATTACTTATATCAACGTTTCGCGTACTGAAGGTCTCCAGGGGGTTGCGAAGATAGTGTAGTTATTAATAGCTTTTATTTTTGCAATAAACAGAAACTTACCTTAATACAAGTTAAATCAGGTTTTCTGTTTTAGTGAATATTTCATATTCGAGTATTCTTTAATGCGATATAATAATACGGGTGTGTTTGCGTGCATGCGTGAGTGCGTGTTGTGTGTGTGGGTGGGGGGGGGGGTAGGTCAGACAAAAAAAGACTGAACTTTTGCAAATTTCAATTTAACAATTATACGTCTCTTACTCAGCTCAGCTCCCATGATGTATGAAGACAAGGATCTCAATATTCTCGACGAACTTCTACAAAGCTATGACCGAAGAGTGACACCAACACACCACATAAGTAATAACCACACTTTCTTTATGTGCATGACTAGGGTTATTTCCAGTTGAGAGCATGGATGACGTTAATGTTGTTTGTTCTTTAAAATATTGTAAACAGAAATACTTAGTGTCGTATTAATCTCTGTAGCCACATTGGTTCGTTAATGTATTTCAAATTAAATGCGACAAGTAAGGCAGAATGAAGTCGTAGTTCGCTATTCAGTCTTTAAGTTGAGGTTATTATAGGCTTAATTTACGAGAGTCTCAAATTAAATGCGACAAGTAAGGTAGAAGGAAGTCGTAATTCGCTATTCAGTCTTTAAGTTGAGGTTATTATAGGCTTAATTTACGAGAGTCTCAAATTAAATGCGACAAGTAAGGCAGAAGGAAGTCGTAATTCGCTATTCAGTCTTTAAGTTGAGGTTATTATAGGCTTAATTTACGAGAGTCTCAAATTAAATGCGACAAGTAAGGCAGAAGGAAGTCGTAATTCGCTATTCAGTCTTTAAGTTGAGGTTATTATAGGCTT